CTATTAAAGACTCATAGGGGTATACACCCTGGTTAGTAAACAGTTGAATTATCAATTGAAGCTGTAAATACCATAGGCGGTGCGCCGACTCCAGGCGAGTCGGTATACTTCTTCCACGTGGTATCTTGTCGCGGTGGGCGTTCAGTCTGCTGACCGCAGTCTGCCTTAGTGCGTGCGCGTCCTACCACCCGGTACACAACGCCGCTGCCCTCCATGCCTCGGTTACGACCGTTGCGTCTAGAAATATGAATAGAGAACATTGATATTTCATCGCCTCAGTAAATGACCATCAATTAGGGAGTTTGGTCCTTCTTCATTGTTGGCTACAAAAATCGGTCTCTTGTCATCTAATGGACTACCGCAACCTGTGAACTTTCTTCTTGGAAATTGTTTACTTTAGATCTTTGTGAATATTTTTTATTTAGTTGTGATCTTCCTTTTATTTATAAAGGAGAAGCATAAATGGTGCAGTGGAACTGGTAAATTACCTACGATATTTTTACTATTCCTTTAGGTTTATTAACACATAGAACATCATATAATTTACGATGTTTTAGTTTAGTTTACGCTTATTTAATAACATTTTTCAATATTTTGATAGTTATCAATTATTCATGAAACAGCACGTTATCTCAGTCAATCCTCGGAGAGGATTACATAACGCCTTTTCACCAATCGTGAATTATGCATCGTGCTCGGAACCGAGTGTCGACAAGACTGAAAGCACTGTATTAATTCATCTTGTTCTCTTCAATCCGAAGATAGTAACGAGTAAAATATTAGGATTTAGAATATAGATTTAGTGCGCGCCCACATGTAACTAAACTACAACACAACTGTTTAGTCTCGCTTTGATTTGACTACAGTTGAATGGGCTGCGAAACAATCGACAATCGCACAACAGTTGTGCGATGGTTTAATCAAAGGATTGCGAACGCTCTAATATTACAAAGACTAAACAAGAGACGATAATGTAACTGTCTATTGAGTTGGTATTAGTAATGTTAATACATTAAACAACGATTCTTTACCCATTTCCTGTGCTATGAATCATTTATGAAAATATTGATTGTCTACCTATTGTGCTTTTGTATCGGACAGAAACCTATTTAAGTCTGTCAAATTGAATTGTTAAGTAAAACATTGTTTGCCGAAGATATTGTATTTTCTGTATAAAACAAGTACCTATTGAAAAATTTATAATGTATCTAACGATGAAATTTAAAATTCATCAAATTCATTATAGTTCACAACAGAACCTAAAATTAATCACAAACACATGTTCAAAATAAAATTTAAAATTGAAAATGATTTCTACATCAAACCCCTTGAAATAAAATTTTAAGAACGTTGAAATAGAAACGAGACGAATGAAATTTATTGAAGAGAGTTTAGAAATATTTAAAGTATTCATATAACCCCGGGATCTACGAGGGGTCGGGACCCTACTGCGTGACTCATTGTTTACTACCGTCGATTTAAGACTAGTGCTTTGTGTGGTTTGCCGAGTGCAGTCTTTACACTGAAGAATATAATAAGCTTATAACTTATCTTCTGTTTACACAGTTCATTTTAGTTTTTAACATTTATAAAAAAGACAAATAGTTATAACGGCTTTTCTAACAATTACAAAACTATTAAAGGGACATAGAGAGTTCGTGTATTGATATTTTCAATCACTCAACATAAAATGTTACAACTGACGATGAACTGAAGTATTATATCGATCTGAAATGTATTTATAGACACAACGTACTCGATAGTGAAGGGATTATATTGCAGACTTATGAGGTGTCAGATTGCCCAAGAACATATTGTAAACAGCCAAAATGTTTTAAGAGATCGAAATCATTCTTGTACTTTTTTAACTCTTCATCATTTGACTAACCTAATACGATAAATACGCTTTAACAATAATTAACATCTTTAAATAAAAACTTCATCTACTCTCCAATCTTTAAAAACAAAGGTCATAAAATGTTTATTCAGTAAAACGTTAGCACGTTCTTTGTCTTCACGAACAAAAAACGAAAAAAAAAAAAAAAACAGTCGACAGTTCATAGTTCCGAGTCACTTTTTCAGTCATGCAGACGATGAACTCCTTCGTTTCTTATATACCAGACAACATAGTCTCGGAGTTATGACTATATGGGACGTGTAATGTCGCAAGCATAAAGGATGTTAGTACATTAGTAAGCGTGATGCTCGTACGTCTAGATTCTAAAGGCTGATAGAATTATACTCGTAATCAAATTATACACATATTATACATTATCTTGCGTTGAATTTGTATGAAGGTATTGTTAGTGGGATCTTTCAAATCTTGCTAATATTATGAATGCGAAAGTTTGGAGGGATAGATGAATGGATGGATGATTGTAAGAGTTTGTAGCCTAAACGGCTGAACGGATCTCGATGAAATTTTGCTTAGATGTATAGGAGTCTGACAGATCACATAGGCTACTTATTTTTATAAAATCTCATGCGGACGAACCCTACTTATTGAATATTGTAATGTTACTATTTATTTTACTCCATTAAAGGTGTATACTCGTAATCTAACAAATTCTCTAAGTCTTTGCAGATTTCAAACAAATCTCATGACCTTCGTTATTAATTATTTAGCATTAAAACAATATCAAATTGCATATTATCATTTTTTTAAAATACTAACTTGTACAAGTGAAGGGGGAATAATGGATGCATTGAATTCGTTCATTAATCACTCTTCATTGCGTTCATTCAAGATCAATGGACTCTTTGTAAGGAATAATAGGGACTTTATTATTGCTCTGGTAAAGAGGCTACTTTCGTACGGTATAAAGGCACTCTAATCTCGATTCCGCAATCAATTTTGATTTGATTGATCGTACAGATTCATAAACAGTCTACATTAGTTTAGTTTTAATTGGACGTAGTGAAAACAATGAGTACGTTTCTATATTAGTTTAGTATTTATTCCTTTCTTTTCCCACCATTCTCTTATACAGAAAGGATGGGATGGGAAAGTGGATATGATGGCGGAGGAGATGTAAAGGATGGGAATATCCTTTTTATGTGCGTCTCCTTCTTCGTTGATTAAAGGCAGGTAACGCTTCAGCAATTGCGGATGCATATGAGCAGCGATCGCTTGGTTTTTACATGGTAAGGAATCGTTTCTTACTAATATTATATTTGTAAAAACCACGAGAGTTGAAAGTTTTATATGAGTAACATTTTTATTATAAAAGTAATAGAAACGTTTTCATAATTTATTATTTCTCATTCCCTTTTCTCGCAGGGGAAAGCGAGAAAAACAAGCGCTGAATGGCTGCCGCTCCCGCCTATCTAACAACAAGCAATAATAATTGTCACATTTATCATTCAATTCTTAACGTTCTTTATTCTTGCTATCTATTTAAAATATTGCCGTTTAAAAATAAAAGAAAATAAAATTCTGCAATATAAAAACTGGATTCATTATAACTATTTTAAGATGAATTTGTTAATTCGATAATCAAAACTAACCTAAAAATCGATAGAATATATCTTAAAAATTGTTATTGTTTTTAAAATCTTAGTAATATTATAAATGCGAGAGTTTAGACGGATGAATGTTTGTTAGAGTTTGTAAAAGAAATTTAGAACAGATATAGAGGACAGACTGGAAGAACACAAAGGCTACTAACTTTTTTTAAATTCCATGCGAACAGAGTCGCGTGTGAAATCTAGTAGAAAATAATTATATTTGAAATCCTTTTAAGCAATCACGAAATCAAATGCTTTCTGTATTAAAAAAAGAGCTGAGATTCAAAAAGACATGCAATCAGGAAAGTAGCTATTTACTGTTTGTGAGAGAGGTTAGGTAAAGCCAATGTAGGGGAGCCTTTGAGAACGTTAGCGCTCGTGCCCCACTTTTTTCAAAAGAAGCGAACCGTACTGAATTTGGACTTTTTTATTCATACAGAGAAAATTGGCTCTATCTTGCATATGCACACCTATTTAACGCCCACTAAAATGAAATTGAAAATGTAGATTGCTATGTTTTACTCGTACTAATTTTTTTATTGTTGTATAATTCTTTTGAAAGCGAATCAAAACATAATTAAGCCTGGGAGTTCTACTCATCAAACGAAAAAAAAAACCAAATCATTCGTATTTGAAATATAACATGTTTCAGAAGTACGATTCTTAACACGTTGCTTCATCTGCATCTAGTCTGTTAATTTACATTAATCTAAATGTAGACAGCTCATAAACAAGCACTACTGTAATGAAGGCAAGACTGCGTGTGACGCGCGACAGTCATAAGGTGCGTTAGTTTACGAGCATCTTACGCGACCGCTTTGTCATTCGAAACATTGGCGTCTTAATGAAAACTCCGCGCCCGAAGCTTCGCGCTAATGATGACGGATGTGAAAGGTACAGACTGCGCCTCATTATCTGCGAACTGAGCAGCTATCTCATTACTCTCTTCCTACCTTCCCATTATTTTTGTCGAAACACTGTCTGAGTTGATGTACTATATGTTCAAATTATTGACACTTATGCAGTTTATTTAAACGCATGGACGTGAAAAGGAAAATGTAAGGTATTACCCTCTCCTCAAGATAATCGAAAAATGTAAAATGGATATAAAAACTAATTTGTTTAAGAACTTAATAATAGGAAGCTGTTCTCCCTAGACCTAGCCTAAATAATTGGCTATCGACCCCTGTGCGAACATTTTTTAGACATTACTTTTTTTCTAATTTCAACTAAAAGTGAACGAGACATCAAAAAGCAATAATTTTTTCAAAAAACTTACATTGAAATACATTATTTTCACACAGTGATATTCAAACTTCTTTCAACATGTTTCGATATTGCTAAATTGTATGATTTTTAAATTAAAATAGTTTGAACATAAAGCTCCTTAGGTACTATCAAAGTAATATCAATGTATCAGATATTTAATTAAATTATCAGTTATCAAAGCATTGTGGAACAAATAAATTGTAATAGATCAATCTCCATCGCTTTGTGCCAGGCCTTTGTCCTCAGAGTAAGTAGGCCGTGTAATATTAAAAATTCCACTGATATTACTATGCGCGTATTTTCATTTAGCGAGAATTCGCACGCGTTATGTTGACAACGTACATCGTTATACTTTTACTACGACATTTGAAATTAAAAAAACATTGCAGATGAATGTACTTTTGCTGTGTTTGCTTATGTTTTTAAAAGCGATGTTTTTAAATGAAAATATGAAAGTGAAA